AAAAAAAAAAACATTCAGCGAGGTATTACTGTATATTCACAATTGCAAATCGTTTGATAATATATTTGTTTGCTTAAAATACCTCAATTATAACTACTTCAACTATAACTGCCCCAGAGTCTGATTCTTAAGCCTAGAGCGAAATGATTCGCTGATTCATATTCACTCTTTGGAGTGAATCACAAATTGAAAGCTGAATTTGGAATCCAGCTTTGTTTAACTGACAATAGGTACTACTGTAGGCGACTCATATTACTCGTTATAAATAAATCCAGCTAATTAAATCGATTCTTAAGTACTTTGTCAGGTAATGTTTTTCTTTCTTTGGTGTAACTTTTAGGGTAATGACTGTCGTTATAGCCATAGCAAAGCAGCTTTGGTCAGTCAGTGAGTGAGTCAATCATATGTATGTACATACATATGTATATACATATGTATATATCAAATGGTATCAACCACAGATTTATAAGATTTTGTCAAACAACCCTCGTATGCGTTTCTACTTACGTTTCGGATAGAGAGGCGGGCGACTCTTTGCTGTCTCTGCAAGGCTGATCGCATTTGCCACGGCGTTGGCCTCGGCTGCCGCTGCTGCTCCTGCTCCTGCTGCTGCTCCTCCTCCTCCTCCTCCTGACAGCGACGGCGGCTGCGATTGCGGCAGCGGCGGCGGCTGTTGCTGCTTCATGGCTGAGCTGCCGCTGCCCAAAACGCCGCCGCTGCTAAAAAGGCGACGCTGCTGTAGAAATGCCGTTTTGTCTGCCGTTTGCTGCTTGTTGGTGTATTGTATTTATAACTATTATTATTATTTTTTTTCTCGTATTATTTTTTATGGCGATTGCGCACAACTCGCAAAAACACCGATGCTTCACAATCTACTGAAATAGCTAAATGTTTACTGTTGATTTTTGGTTCGTTTATCAACGATCGAGATAAACGTATGTGCATACATATGTATGTGTAAGTGTGTGTGTCAATAGCTCCGACTGTTAAAATTTGCAATAGATGAGCTTAAGAGTTGCAAGAGCGAGCAAGAGAACATGCATATGTATTTACTTTTAGGGTTTCACACACACTAACACACCAGCACACACGTACTTACAGCTGCCCTATATTTACGTCCTGCTGACACCGTTAAATGTGTAATTGAAAGCGAATTGCCTTCAATGACAGAGCAACAGCAACAACAACAATTACAGAAACAATAGCAAACTAACGGTGCTTTGGGCAGCTGTTCTTGTTTGCTATCCTCTCTGCGCCGCTTTACCTTGACCTACACGAATTCAATAATAAATGAGCGCAGCCTGCACTATGCAGCACACACCCAAACACAAACACTTGAACAAAAACGAAATTAAAATCAAGTCATTCGCACATTTGTTGTTTAACAATTTAAAGCCAAAAAAAAATTAATTTAACTATGTATATCCGTTGCACTTGGCTTTCAAATACCTTTCCACTTGAGCAGCAAAAATATAACACAACCGACCCGCGGCTAGTGTAACCGACTATTGACGAACCGAAAATGTGTCGTGCTTATATCCCCCAGGCGCAGCCGGGCACACTGCTGTTGCCGAACTCATTTTGGCACTGTTGTTTTAACAGTGGGCTTAACATTTCTGTTAACCCTGTGCAATCACAATTGCAGCAATAGTATCGTATAAATAATCGCAAAATTGTTAATCGAATACGCACAGCTGTTACTTTGTTTATCTTGGAGAGCCAGCGATTATAACAGAGCAGCAACAAATTCATCGTAAGTGATATCGAGATATCAAGTACGTTGTCGGCAACTTTGAATTGCTTGAATCTAAAAAAAAATACGTACTATTTCATGACATAGTTGCCCATAATTCAATTGAACTTCTACAATATGAGTTTTTCTCGATTACAATTGCAGTTTGTAAAGCTAAGTCGCTTGTCAATTGCAGCAACGCAAACCCGGTCTCTGGCCGATTCGGAATTCATCGCCAAATCTAAACAGATAACAAAACAAACACAACAAAACAGACTTTGTCATTGCAAAAGTCGAAACAAAGTCAGCAATAACGTCGACAACAATATGCTGAAATACCTAAATCAAAGTGAGGCAATAAATGTGGACCTGGAACTCTTTAATGAGTACAAGTTCAGTGTGGATCAGCTAATGGAGCTGGCGGGCCTCAGCTGTGCGCACGCCATAGCCAAATGCTTTCCGGCGGAGCGCTTTGGACGTGTGCTCGTCTGCTGTGGCCCGGGCAACAACGGCGGCGACGGGCTGGTCTGCGCTCGCCACCTGGCATTGATGGGCTACTTGCCCGTCCTCTACTACCCGAAGCCGACGCCAAAGCCGCTGTACGAGAATCTCGCCCACCAATGCAAGCTCATGGAGATTGAGTCAATTTCTGAATGCCCTAGTGTAGCGCTAGCGGCTGAGTGCTACGACTTGATTGTGGATGCCCTGTTCGGCTTCAGCTTTAAGCCACCCGTGCGCGCCGACTTTGTGCCAGTCGTGGAGCTGCTGCAGCAGACAAAGCTGCCCATTGCCAGGTCTTTGAACAAACTAAAACTTATCAAAATCCTGCCTAATCTCTCTTTTCCCATATTGTTGCCTTGCACAGCGTGGACATACCCAGCGGCTGGGATGTGGAGGCGGGCAAGCTAAACGAGTGCGATATGGAGCCGACGCTGCTTATCTCATTGACGGCGCCTAAACTCTGCGCTAAGCACTTCAAGGGCAAGCATCACTTCCTGGGCGGACGCTTCGTGCCGCCCGCCCTGCAGCGCAAGTACGAGCTGAATCTACCCGCGTATCCGGGCAATGAGATGTGCCAGGAGCTGTGAAGAACTACGGAATACGCGAACCATAGATTGTTAACTGTCTTGTAACTGATCAAATCTGGAACTAAAGTCTGAGAATGTTGGATTCATTTAATGTTTATATTTGATTAATATTATTTTACATACGCATGAGAACATATATATGTACATATATGTATGTGCTTAAAAGGATAAGTTCTCGCCCCCTATTTGTACAAGCGATTGTAGTTCTTGCGCCTGCGGTCCTCCTCGAAGTTGTTGTTGCGCGCCCACTCCTTCAGGTTGCCCTTGGAGCGCAGCATAGCCGACTTGGAGTCAACGTCGCGCATGACAAAGGGCGAGAAGCCCGCAATGTAATCGTCATCCAGGGCATTCGTCTTGGTTTTCGCAACTCGCGACGGCATCTGGCGCGGCATGGGCTGATCCTCGAAGAGAATGGGATTTCGCGAATGCTTGCCGCCTTGGAAACGTGGCAAACTCTGGTTCTTGTACTTGGCGGTCAGCGGGCGTCGCGTATTGATGTGGATCACCTGCTTGCCATTCTCGTCCAGGCTGATGGCGACACGCTTCAGCGTCTTGTTGCCACAGTTCGGGCAGAAGACCTTGGTCATGATGCTGGTCGTCTTGTAGCAGGCGTAGCAGCGCAGTATGTAGGTGCGCAGCTGTTTGATGATGCGCCCATTGAGCGCAGCCAGCTGCAGGTTGAGCTGCTTCAGCACATTCTGCAGCGCATAATCTGTGGTCATGCACGCCACCGGCGGCACTATGTCCGTTTCCACCTTGCCCTCGAGCGCCTTTTTCGCCTTCTTAATGTTCGAGTGCGTGATCCAGCCATCGTCGCCAACGTCATCGTCGTCGTTGCCAATGTTCGCGGCATTGTTATTGCTGCTTGGCTGGTCTTCTTCTTCGTCTTCGTGTTGGGGCTCTGCCACCAGAAGATCACAGGTTGCCTTCTCCTCGTCCGCCGATGGAGCGCATTTCAGCTTTTCGAACAGCTTGTCTAGTTCCTCCTGCGTCACATCGTCCCCATCCTCTTGCTCGTCTTCCCCATCCTCGTTGTCATCATTTGCTGCCTGTTTGCTCTGTGAACTCGTTATCTGTCTGCCTTGCAGCTGTGCTTCGATAGCTTCCTTAATGTGATCCACGTTGTCGCTGCTTTTATCCAACTTTTGCCCGTTGTCATCCTCGTTGTCATCCTCGTTGGCATCTTCATTGTCATCTTCCCTCTCTTCTTCGTCATCATCTTCCTCCTCCTCCTCCTCCTCGTCATCTTCGTTTCCCTCGGGCATATACCAGCCCACCAGCCGTTTGTTATTGCTGTCCTGCATCTCTTCGGGCTTGTCCTTGGAGGCAATCACCTGTGAGACGACTGGCTCGGTGCGCAGATGATCGGTGCCCAGCGTATCCGCTTCCAACTCGTATGTGAGTGAAATCACCTTTAAATCAATGCCAGACAAACTGGCATAGTCGCCGGTCTTCTTAGCGAACTCGACGCAGTGTTTGACGCTTTCCGGGCGCGGCTCTCGCACCTGCAGATCAAATGGCAGCACACAGAGGCGGCGTATCTGTCGCTTATTGCGCACCTCGGCCACCACATCTGGCACGGTGAGCACATTTTCGGCGTATTCCTTAATAACACAACAACAAAATAACACATAAAATAATCACTAACATATTCAAATGTTGCACTTACATTCAGTGGCACTGCATTGATAAATGCTGTCGTATCCGCTACGAGATATTTGATTTTTGTGCTAGTTTTACTCATTTTTGGTCGTTCATAAATAGCTCGTCCAGCCAACACTGAAGAGAAACAAATTTTACAATTGCACGTGTTATTCCCATGAATAAGACAGATTAAAAGGTTACTCGTTAGTAGAGCCCACACTGTTGTGATTTGGGAAACTACGTCACAGACTTAATTCCTTGGACCAGTCGGTTTATTTATTTAAACTGTTAATCTAATTTAATTAATAATGTATTTTATATACTGTATATAATATTGGCATCCATATTTAATTAGTTTTTCCTGAATAAATAATAATCGTTTACTCCAAACTGTTGGGTGACGTCACATCATTTGTGTAACTGTTACCTGCAAGGTAACCTATACAAAACAACCATGCCATGACTCAGAATCATGCCCCACAGCTATCGAGCTCGATTGCTTTAACATATCGATACAATATTAACATACACAGCACAACGTTCATCTCTAGTTTTCAAGCCAAAAATGGCGAAGTGCGTGCTCATTTTTGTTATTCGGTTTTGATTTTCTTGTCGATTTTGAAGACCGCACAAAATTATATAAAACCGATCCAAAGCAACTAAAAAAGTAAGTAAAACAATAATCAGCACGCAATCATTCATGTAGCTTTTTATCTAAAATCATTCGTACGTGAGTTGCAGAGAATTATAATTTGAAGTATCGCTAATGTGGAATCAATGGCCAGTCGCTGCGGTGCCAGCTGCACCGCCGCCTCAACCTGCCATACCGCCTCCACTGCCAGATGCACCGCCGCCACCGCCACCATCAGACTCCGCGACTCCTGCCCACGGTGCCGCAGTTGCTGCCGGAACATACATGCCTGCGAGCGGAGCTCAGGCTGCTACCAATCCGTATGAACAGTATACGGCCGCGCAATATGCGGCAATGACGCCGGAACAGCAATACGCTCTGCAGCAGCACTGGCAGCAGTGGCAGACTTACCAACAAGAATACGCCAAGTGGCATGCCCAGTATGGAGAACAGGTGAATTGTGCTTATTTAATGTGTATTCTTAAGTTTAAACACGATTCTATTTGTGAAATAGTACAAGCGCGAAATGGCTGCTGCGGCAGCTGTCAGCACAGTGCCTACGCCTGCACCGGTTGCGGCGCCCATTGGGCCAGTCGCCGCACCAGTGCCCTCAGCTGTGCCTGGAATCGGGCCAGTTTATCCGCCAACTCCCATTGGCCCACAGATGCCCATCCAACAGCCCATACAGCCATACTATGCACAGCCGCAAATGCAACCAGTGGCGCCACAAATGCCACCGCCTCCCCAATCGCAGACGCAAATGCCTGGCAAGATAATGGCCCAGCCTCAGATGTATAATCAGCCGCCACCGCCGCCGCCGCAGACCTACCAGCAACAGCAGCAGCCACCGCCGACGCACCATCAGCAACAACCACCGCCAAATCATTGGCAACAACAACCGCCACCGCCGGCTCGAATCAATCAAATGCCGCCCGTAGGCTACAATCAGCCGCCCACTTCTGGGGAACCCAACATGTTTCCCAATCTGCAGCAGCCACCACCTTCGTTCATGCAACCGCCTCCACCTGCGGCGCCGTCGACGGCCAATCAGATGGATGCCAATTGGTCAAAGGGACCCCCAGGCAAGGGCAGCGGAAACATGAGTGAAGCGGAGTCACGCCCGCGCTGGGATGGGCCGCCACCAGATATGGGATCTCAGCAACAGCAACAGCAGGGCGCAGCGCACAATAATCGCTGGCAAGGCAAGGAACCCAGCAGCAACAACAACAATAACAACAACAGTAATAATAATAATACCAATAATAACAACAACAACAATCAAGGCCCTAATAGGCCAGGTCAATTCGGCAACCGGCGCAATTGGCAACAGACTTCTGGCAACAACAACAACAATAGCAACAATATGAATCGGAACAATCCGTTCAGTAGTGCTCCATCAGGACATTTCGGGCCAGACGATGGGGGTAATGATTCTTCTGGATCTGGGCCCTCGAACTCTGGCAACTTTGGTGCATCGATGAGCAATTACGGCGCAAACTTTGGCAATAATGGCGGTGGCCAAGGACCAGGTGGTCCACCAAGCTTTGGCAACAACAACAACAACAATAATAATAATAATAATCGTCGCAGCGGTCGATGGGAGCCAAATCGGGCGCATCAAGGCGGCGGTAACTTTGGCCATTCAAGCAATAGCTACAATGACGACGGCTTCAATCGAAACTTCAATCAGCTGCAGGGGAAACAGCAACAGCAGCGCGCGCCGGACTTGGACGAGGCCAGCTTCGATCGGCTGTTCGATCAATGGGAGAAGCAGTTCGAGGACTGGAAGCGCGCCAATGCCAATCATCCGGATCGCGAAGAGTATCGGCGCTATGAGGAGGAGTTTGAGAAGCAGCGACGTCGGATCGCCGAGCGACGTGAGCAGATGCGACGCCGACGTCAGGGACAGAATCCAAACCAACAAGGTCCACCACAAGGTCCCCCATTTCATCGGGATCAATGCCAACAGCAGGAGGCCGACGGCCATTACGATGGGGAACGCATGCAGCAGGCCAATGCGAACCCGAAACCGGGCCTGAGGCAGGAGAACGACATGGAGCCGCAGCAAGAGACGGCCAATGGTACAAATCGAGATGAGTCGCATTACTATTCACCACAATCCGAAGCGGATGGAAAAGCGATGCCGTTGGGCTCACGCGCTAGCAAGGAGCCGCCAAAGTCGTCGGCTACCCAAAAGACGCCGCAGGACGTGGATGCAGTGTCGACAACAACAACAACAACAACGACAGCAACATCAACAACAACACAACCAAATAAAGCTCATCCACTGGGCAAACGTAAGAATAACGCTGGCGGTGGCAACAGCTCGACACCATCCAAGCAGACCAAACAGGAGAACATATTGATCATTTCCCTGGACGACGATGACGATGAGGCTGAGGCACAGGGCTCGACGGGTAAGGGGGCAGACACAGCTGGCGATACGCCCATGAAGAACATATTCAAGAAGACCGATGGCATACCGGGACTCGATTTTATTGCCGACGGAACTGCTGCGCCGCCGCCGCCGCCAGCCACTGAATCAGGGAATTCAAAGGGCACGGATAACAATAAGAAGATACCATCGCTGTTCGATGTGGTCATCGATAAGCCGCGCATATCGCCCACCGAGCGCACTGCCAGCGATGCGGAGAAGAAGGAGCAACCAGGGCCTGTCAGCGAACCACTGCCGGATAATGTTAGCCATGTGCTCAAGGATCCCGAGTTTATGAACAATTTGTCGCAGGCCCTTGCCCAGGCTCAGGGGCGTGATCGTGACCAGCAGCCGGATCAGGATCAGGGACAGCAGAAGTCAAGCGAGAGCAACGAAAATGCCAGCAACAACAAGGCCAACAGCAACAGCAACAACCACAACAATGCAGACAGTGACAGACGCTCCCTGAGCTTTGCCGAGTGGCAGAGGAAAAAGAATAACCAGAAGACTGGCTCGCAGGACGGACAGTCGCACAGCATGCCGGATAATGGCCCTCGAGATAACTTTGGACCAGGTTCAGGTCCAGGTCCAGGTCCGTGTCCAGGTCCTGGTCAGGGTCCGGGCCCGGGTCCGGGTCCTGATCAACGAGCACCTCATGGATTCGGACCTAATAATGGGCCGCCATTTGGACCTGCCGGTGCACAGGTCATGGGACCGAACTTCACTGACTTTAATGGACCCAATGGTCCGCCCAATGGACCCAACTTTGGAGGGCCTAACTTTGGTGGACGTCAGGGACCCGGACCCGGACCCGGACCTGGACCTGGACCCGGGCCCTTCGGTGGCTGCCCTGGACCCAATGGGCCATTTGGACGTAATTTTGGACCAGGCGGACCAAATAATCCCAATTTCAATGGACCTGGACCGAATTTCGGTCCCAATTTCCGTGGCAATGGACCTGGCAACGGTCCCGGCCCTGGTCCATTTCGACAAAACCTCTGCGGCCCGAACGGCCCCGGTCCAAACTTTGGTGGTCCCGGACCATTCGGCGGACCAAACTCGCCCGCAAACTTCGATCGAAACTTCGGCCCACCAGGGCCCAATCATCCAAATTTCAATGGCCCCCACAACAATAAAAACAACTTTAACGAAAATCCATTCAGACGCAATAGTGGAGGCCCAGCGCCCATCTTTGATGATGGACCCGGCTTCGGTCCACGTGGCAAGCCGCATCAAAAGAACTTTGGACAACAGCGCAACAACTTTAACAACGGAGGAAACAACAACGACAACAAGCCTTGGCCTGACGGGTATGTGTCATTAAGATGTACTTAACTATATATGTCTCTCTATCTCTCTCTCTCTCTCTCTCACTGTTTCACTGACCACCCGTACTCTCACTCTCGCTCTTTATCGCGTGTCTTTCTATGTATGTGTAGAGCAAAGTTTGGGGGACTAAGCAAAAATTCTGTAAGCATTCCGTCTGAGTTATGAAGAGCATTATAAAATCAGAATATTTGTCCTCATTTCGTCTGTCATCATAAGTCCGCATTGATTAAGATATTCATTTCGATACAGTTGACTATGAGTCCGGAAGAATTTTGATGAACTCGGGAAAATTTGATCTCCTTTGTAAGACAATTGCTAAAACACCTTAGCGTAAATACACTATATACTATATTTTAACCTCGACCTCCAAGTCAGCTACCTCTTCTATATTCATTGATGATATGATATTATGTCCTAAGACTCAAGATTGGTATAGTTTTACTATGCTGAATACTTTTATACTCGCTTACATAGACTGTCATAAGATATTATATAGTTAATTCATAATAACCGATCAGCCTTACCAGATGGGCTTAAGACTATACTATACTAGCTATATTCTTACCCGATCGATTTTTAATTTATTTGGTTTATCATTTTTGAATTGAGAGAGATGGGGCTCGACATACAACTCAATTCAACAAATATAATAACTACTTTTCTGATGAGATAAAACCACAAAACAATTAACATTGAATGAATGAAACCCAAATGTATACTGTTTGACTCCATCCCCAATTCAAGCTTTTCGCTAGCATTAAGAAAACTCCATCTAAATTATCAAAATCGAATATAAAACTTGAAATCGTTTATCATATATCTAAAAAATCTATAAACAAGTCTCAAGAATGACTGGGACTTTTAGTTTAGAATTCTGTTTGCAAAAATCTCTTAAATCTGATCGTGAATGATTTGAGAAAGCTTTCGGATGCCATGAAAGCCTTACGAAGTATAATAAGACAGTACCATCCGATAGACAGTACCATCCGATAGTAGTCGAAAGTGACCCGCCGTCCCTTATAAATCTGTTCTCATATACGTTTTCTATGTTTGTAGCTTAACTGTGCAGGCATTTTGTTGATCTCGTCGTTAATGCTGGAATTTCGATTCCTTACCCGTTTTCTCTTTTTCTCTTCTACTTTTATGCACCCAAATATGTATATATAAAAAAAAAAAAAAAAACAAACAACAACAACATAAAAACAAAAATTTAAATTACAATTTATGAAACTTAACTGACACAACAAATATATATCTATATGTATTACAAAAACCAATTGACATTGCTATGAATTTCATGTTCCATGCTCAATGCATATATGTACATATATATATAAATCAATTTGTATATGTATGTACATATATTATAGCAATCGGTCGTTTCGTGGTAGGGGTGTCAACTCCAACAGGAGCAATAGAAGCATGCAGCAGCAGCAACGCGGACCCAGGTCAAGCTAGATATGTGCCCTTCTTCTCGATTCTCCAAGCGCATATCTAAATTACAATAACAGATCTGAATAATGTTATCTCTATATCTATCTATCTCTATCTCTCTCTCACTCTCTGCCAGTTATTTTATATACACTACTATTTATGTAAATCATTAACTGCTAAAGTCTCTTAACTAATTTTTAAGATCAAAAGAAATCAATGAATTTAGTTACTTGAAATTGAATTAAATATTTTTGAGAATACTACTTGAAGTTTTCACTTCATTGAGGTGTATAACAATACAATACCCTCATTTATCTGAAGCCACGAAATGCAGTTTGATTTCTAGAAGTTCCCCATGTATTTAGCATAATTAATAGTTACTTACACACACACATAATAAACATATCGTCGCATTCGCGCGAAATGATGAAATTGAGATTTTCATGCAGAACGGTTTGAAGACGTCTGTCTCACATACTTGAAGAAAATATTCGCCCTAGTTTCGGAAAAACTCCGTTTCACTTTAAGCGTTTGTATACAAACATTAAGGAAAAGTCTTTCCTGTAAAATTACATTTTTCGACATACGATCATTTCGCGGGAATGCGACGATATATAACTATGGTACAGAATTACCTAAAGTTACGCAGAGATATAACACAAAATTAACAAAGAATACATTGAATTAATAAAATGATTTTAAATATTATATACAATGCTGGCTTGCATTTTTATATGTCCAGAAGGGTTAATCTATGTCTCGAACTATAATATTTATTTAGAATTTACTTTTAGAGTCCGTCCGAAACATTGAATGTCCTATATTCTATGTGGTCCGATTCTTGTCTTGATATTAACGACTGTACGTACCAAGATTTCTTCCAATTCTCTTCAAGTCTTGATCAGGTCCTCCCTTGTGACTGTCTATCTCAATGAAAACTAAGGATCCCCAGTTTCAGTAACAAGAAAAGGTTTTGGAGTATAGGTCTGGGGAGTATGGTGTGAGGGAAATTCTAAATCCCATTGCAATAGTTTCCACGGGAATAGTTATTTTAAATGAAATTTATAATGAACTTTATATAAACTCTTGATACAAATAACTCGTGTATATGCATTGCTATACATACCTCGTGCATATGACACGCTCTATTAAATTAGTTAAATCCCTGACCCCTCCGAAAGGCTTGCCCCATGCTAAATGGCTTCTGAACTTTCCATGCGATATCTATCTATTGATACAATTACTATTGAAATTTACAAGTCCAAATCCGATGTTATCTTAGTTATGTAAGCTCTATTAATACAAACACTGAACACTTGAAGAGTTACCCGAATTATAACTTATTTCATGCCAATTTTGCGCTGATCCCAATGAACCCATCACTACTATTATTTAACACTAATTGACAAAGCCTGAACTTCGGCAATAGTCGAAGATTGGATGTGTCTCAAAGTATTTTGGTCTGATTGTGATCTTACGATATTCGCCCTTCAGTTGTCCGATGATTCAGTTGATAGATGAGCGATTGCTGTGAAAAAATATAATTAAGAATTTTGAATTTGAAGTCTGGTATAGCCCTATATATTATTGATATTCTTGTCTGTTCGCCAAATCTGAGTTGGTGTTCTCCGTCTGTGCTTAAGAATAAATACTATATATTTTCTGAAAGGTCTGTTTATTCTGCTATTCTATATACTCGTCTTTAAGAACCTTTGTAAAACTTTTAGCTTCGGCGTAGCCGAATATGATACTTACCTCAACTATATTTTTAACATCTGGATATGTGCATATATATTACATATATATTATATATATTGACTTCGGCTTTAGCCGATGGTATAAGTTCTATGAACTGTCTTAGAGTGCATTTATCCTGTTGAATGGATAGACAATGGGAGCTCAGAGTCTCTCATCTACTCCCCATTAAGTTTGACCCTGCCTCTGCCCCTGCCCCATGCTCTGCCTCTGCCTCTGCCTTGTCTCTTGATCTGTTATGTAAATATCTTGAAGCTACAATTGCTTGCCCCATGACCATAGCAATATATTTGTAAAAGTTTAAGTGTTTCTTTCTGGTTTAAAATTATATATATACAAAAAAAAAAAAAACAAATACAAAAAAAATACAAAAAACCTGAACCGATTTAAAACCAACAAATAAACAAATGCAAAATGCAACAAAAACTGAAAAAACAAAAACAAAAACAAAAACAAACAAACAAACATAAACGAATAACAAATAATTGATTACAAAAACTGTTAAACAAACCAAACCTCGACCCTGCGTCACGCAACGTTGCAGCGCGGAGCAAACCGAGGACGAGATGCGAGCCGGCAGCAGCGAGTCCGTCTATCGTCCGATGCAAGTGTTTGACTATCAGAACAGCAGCAACACCGCCGCCAAGGTCATCGACTATGGCCACAAGTCGGCCGATGGGGCTGTCAATCGGATGGCAGCTGTTGAGCCAGGACTAGGACCAGGACCAGGACCAGGACCGGGACCAGGACTAGGACCAAGACCAGGACCAGGATCAGGATCAGGATCAGTATCAGGCCCAAGACCCGGACCGGGCCAAGCTCTGCCGGACTTTAGGCCGGGTGTTACCTTTGACTATGGACATGCACCGGTAGCTGGACCAGCAAGTGCCAGGCCCCTCAATCGGAATGTTAATCAGAAAATTGGCAACAACAACAACAACAGCAACAGCAACAACAATGCTAATAAAAACAACAGCAAGAAGAAAAACAAAAGAAAGAATAAGAATCGTCAGCGTGCATTGCAGCTGCAGCAACAACAGCAACAACAGCAACAACAACAACAACAACAACAAGTTGCAGACTCGTTCTTGATGCCCGATACTGAGGTAGGTATCAAACGTGGCTAATCCCGCTGCAAGCTATCCACAATGGGCGATTATAATGTCATGTCGTTCTGTATATATCCATTAGTTGAATGGCCAGCAGCTGGCCGTTGGCAAGCTCGATGACCTCGAGGACATATCCGATGGCGAGGAGTAAGTTTCCACTTTCAATGCGTAAAGATCCAATCCGCTAATGCCACAAATTTATTGCAGTACTCTAACGGATTTAATGCACGCGGAATCGCCACCACCGCCACCGCCGTCAATGCTAATCAGGCCGCCAATTGAGGAGCCAGCGCCACCGAAAGCATTTCCAGCTAATCCACAGCGTCGCATGCTGAGCGACCCACCCACCGCTCTGTTCCCATCAACAGCAGCGGCCAATCAACATATACCGGAGCCAACGGTAGATGCCAGTCTGCTGGAAATGAACGTACCCACGCAAGAGCATCGCAATACCATGTCCATTGATGAGGTGCTGCTGCCACCGGGTCGTCTGATGCGTCCGAAACGCATTTGCATCATCTTGCGTGGACCGCCGGGCTGTGGCAAGTCGTATGTGGCACGACTGATCAAGGACAAGGAGGTGGAAATGGGCGGCGCCAGTCCTCGCATACTCAGCATCGATGATTACTTCATAATTGAGAATGACTACGAGGAGAAGTGCCCCAAGTCTGGCAAAAAGGTGAGCATGGCTGGGCGGACAATGTCTCGCTGAAAACTCTATTCACTCCTGTTCCATTTCCAGATACCGAAGAAGGAGATACTCTACGAGTATGATGAGGCCATGGAGGAGACATATTTGCAGTATTTGATCAAATCGTTCAAGAAGACGCTTAGCGACCATCTCTATGACTTTGTTATTGTTGATTGCAACAATAATTCGTTGCGTTCACTGAACGAGTTCTATTGCAGCGCTAAAGAATCGAACTTTGTGGTACGCAGCTGAAACGCAGTCTCCCTCTCCCTCTTCCACTCCCGCTCTGTCTCTGTCTCTGTCTTGCTCATTTCTACTCTCCCCCTCTAACTGTCTCGCTCAAATCGATGCTGATGGCGTTCCTTTTACCAACAGCCCTACATTGTGGACATGCACTGCGATGTGGAGACGTGCCTGGGACGCAACAGCCATCAGCGTAGCGAGGACGATATACGTGCTGTGCTGGACAATTGGTGCCCGACGCCGTTGCAGTATTTCAAGCTGGATGTCTCGTCGCTGCTGGAGAACGTTGTTGAGATGGAAGATGTTGAGAATATGGCAACGGTAACTATGACGCTGTAATGCAATCTACGGCCCATCACAGCTCACTGTCACAGCCGCCAGCCTGACCATTAGGCTGGCCAACAGCAAATATGGCTGTGCGTGTATGTGTGTGTGTGAGTGAGTCAGTGTGTGTGTGTGTGTGTGGCACTATCGTCGGTGTATGACACTGACAGTCTACAATAGTAAATAGTACATAACAATTATATATATCTACATATATTATATCTTGATATCTATACCTATATTTACATAGTTGAATTATGTATACGAGCAGTCTGTAGTGTAAGCACGAGTATAAATTAGTTGGCCACGACAGCTCTTTAGACTAAGATTCTCTTGAACTCGTCTCTACGATATTTATACGTGATTGTGTATGGCATATGTATGTATTGCATACATGCGTACATAACTGCTGTAGCTGTATATTGTTGATATATATACATACATATGCACGACTATATAAATGCTGTAACTGTAAATCTGATCAATACAAATAGAGAATTGCCTTGTTGTACCAAAATATTAATCAATTTATCTAAATGCCCGCTACACGATATATTTTGAAATTAAGTAACTAAGTAAATGGTTTTTGGAGCGCTGGTCAAGCAAACATGTTGTTGATTTATTGTGGCTTGTTCATTGCAGGATGATAATGCCAATAGTGCGGAGCCAGCAACCGAGGAGGGTGCCGGGGATTCCCAAGCCGCTGCCCACGATGAGGACAGCAATAGCGCTGATGCGGCCAACGATGTAAGTGTCTCAAGCATCAGCCATATCATGGTTAATTGCTCCCACTGTGGGCATAAGCTCTCTGGCTCTCGTGCTATGTGCTCTATGCCTCTCTCTCTCTCTCTCTCTCTCTATATATATATATCTATATATCTATCTATCCCTTTCACTCACTGCCTCTGTCTCTGGCTTTGAGTGTATGTGTGTGGCTGTAGCTAATCCAAAATATATATCCATATATGTTCTTTTATTGTACGATTCTCTTGGCATGTGTGTTGGTTGTGTAAAGTGCGGCTTTCTGAAAAGCAAGTGGGAAAATGATACCACGGAGGAAAATCTGGGTAAGTACTGTCAAGTTTACGGTCATCCTCCATTCCCTGATGCCTAATATCCCTCAACTTTAGCCCGTCTCGATGGTACGAAACGCCTGATGCACAAGCGCAAAGCCGCTAGCATGGCTGACTATTTGCAGCTGGATGAATGGGAGCCGCCCACAGGCAGCTCGAATGGCAAGAAACGCGTAAGTGCCAGATGGCATCTATTTAAACAGTAATTGCCTAAAGCTCGCATATCAATGCTCTAGGTACGCTGGGCGGACATCGAGGAAAGGCGAGCCCAGCAAAAAATGCGTGAGATTGGCTTTGTGGTGGGGCAAACCGATTGGAAGCGCATGATGGATCCCAATGCGGGAGATCGTGCACTCAATAAAACCAAGTACATTGAACGCGTGCACAAAAGGCGCTAATCAGGATGGATCCATTACGATCCGATGTGACAACGGGTACCAACTGAAACATGTCACAAATGGAATCCGATATGCCATACGACCTCATCAAATTGGATTTTTAGCCTCATTTTTATTTTTTTTATTTTGTAAACTTGATTGTTAAGAGCTGATCGTATTCTAGTTAGGTAGTTGGCTTTCATTTGTTAACACAATGCTCGCATGCATCAAAATGCGTTGCGTGTCCCAGCGAACAACAAACAACCGAACAATGCAATCATCTATCATTTCCAATACGAATCGGACTCAATTTCCAGAACATCATGCATGCAGCATGTGCTCTATTATAATTAAATATAATAATTACATAAATACTATTGTACGAAACTATCAATGATGTCAAACTTTTTAGCCTATATGCATTTACATTCACCACAGAGCTCAACTTATTTATACAATCAAATTTTATCTATTGTATGTGTCCTTGTGTTGTAACAAAATTTGTGAGTTTTTTTTTTTTTTTTTTTTTTTTTGAGTTATGTGTTTTTAAACATGAACTCAAAAATTCAGTGCAAATTTAGTATAAATATATAATCTAAATGTAGTCTAAATATATATATATATATAAAATTGTGTACAGTCAAGCGAAATCTATGTGTATATTAGCAAAGTTTTAGCATTAGATTTTAAGCAATGTGAAGTCTTATGTAAAATACTGCTATGTATTACTGGAATTATATATACATTTACATATATATACATTTTAATTATTAGCATGTAACTAGATGAATTACTCTGAATTACTGACACATATTGAAATTAAAGTGCAACTTAAAAAAAAATTAAATCTTATATTTAAGATGTTTTTTTCAATTATAAAATTCTTTTTAGAGTTGTGTAAAATAACGCAATGTTATCGATATCGATACTATATTTTTCGATCTTGAAGTACACAAAAGGAATAATTATATACGATATGCCCATATCCATATTAATTTATATATAAATATATACTCGTATATATTTATGTTTACATATACATATTTAAAAGTCATTAATATTGATAGCAACTGTGCTTTGAGTGCAGGGTATCTCTTGGCCGTTAACATTTGAATAACTCAATTTCGCTTGCACATGGCTAAATTATGTCTTGGCTTTTCTATTTAGTTGATTGAACTTGCCAAATACGTCAGGAATTGGCAGCTTGTGCTATTACTCACGACTCAAGGCTAAGAAGTTGCGCAACTTTCTAGCGTGGATCGAGCACGCGATGTTCGCAAATTTCGAAACGATAACAGCGACAAGAACAAGAACACGAGGAAGAACAACAACAACAACAATAAGAATAACAGCAGTTGTAACAGCAGCAGCAACAGCAACACAAACAACTGTGTCGTAGCTATCGCCACCCTTCAACACCCATACACAGACACACACACAGACACCGACTCACATGCAAGCGTTGCGTCGCTAGCGGCATGCGCGTGAGTGTCAAAAAAGGAGTGCGGGCCAAAAGGACAAACGCACACTAGCACTAACACTAACACCAACACCAACACCAGCACACAAATCACATTTCGAATTCGCATTCGCATTCGCATTCGCATTTTGGCGATATGCCTGTGTCTGTGTCTTCGGCGAAGCTGAAGTCGTGAGTCAGCCGAGGGCAGGCAGAGCCAGCCGTTCAGTCGAGGAACGTAACTCGAACGCAACGGACGCTCGGGCCGCGCAGCCCCATAGAAAACACGAGCAACGGAGCAAAATAGCAACAACTGAAACAGCATTAATAATATAATAAAAAAAAAGAAAAACAACAGTAAATAGTGTGTGCAGCAAGTTGAAAGAGTGTGCGAAAGAGAGCGAGAGAGCGATAGAAAGGGCATTTTGAAAGGCCAAAAGGAAACAATCTAGTTCTTGTTTTGCCAATTTGTTGTTTGTTTTCATTTTTTTTATTGTTGGCTTGTTATTTGTTTAATTAATTGAGTGAGCGTGTGTGTGTGTGCGTGTGTGTGTGACTGTGTTTGTTTGTGTTGGTTGCTGAATTTTGAATTCGCCCAAAGGCGAAGTGGAAGTTACGTCAAAAGGAGCCAACGGCCAACAACAGCCAACAGCCAACAGCAACAACTACAGCTGTAGCAACTTGTACAACAGCAACAGCAACAGCAACAGCAACAATAACAATAACAAGCGACGCGCCAAACTGCTTTTGGCCGCCTTTGGCGCGTCGTCCTTTGCCCATTGTTGTCACGAGTTACCGTTTGTTGTCTTTATTTGCTGTTGTTGTTATACAGTTGTAGTTGTTGCCATTGCTGTTGTTGTCGTTGTTTGCTCACATTTGGTATTACCTATTTGCTGATTTTTTTTTTTTTTTAGCCGGCATCGGCAACGTCAGCGGCTACGTGGCTCGTGCTTATATAAAGTGTAATATGGAAGCATGTCTTCCACATCCAGCTCCGTGCTAGCGCTGTCATCGTTCAATTTATTATTTTTCACCCAAGGTAAGCCAAACGGAATATAATACGCATAACTCGCCTGCCAGCTTTATATAATCTGCAAACAAATAAAAACAAATGAAATTGTCTTCGGGCACACCGAAGCCTATATACACTACCCGAGGCTCATGATTCGCGACTGCTAAACTCAAATGATCAATGATTCTTTAGTGTAAATGAAATCATTGATAATGTCTTATGAAAGTAATTTAGTTCATATAAGATTTTTTGTAATTTTCTTACTCTTTATATAATCAAAGAACTAGATCATAATTAAATATAAAAGAAAAGAGATGATGCCTGGGATATCATGGACTTAGACGAAGAGTCTGTAGTTGCTGATCTATTATTCTATTATTATTCATTTACTTTTTTTCTATCTATTCTTCATCTTTATATGCTCAAAGAACTAGGTTGCAATTAGCTAGAGATCTTGCCTATGCTAGTGATATCTGATGCGTATAATATGAGTATGGTCAATCTAGCAATTTTAATAATTTCTGGTCACTGATCTATAATATATAACATATATATACCTTATTCACTTAATTATTCTCTTACTCTTACTACATATTCTTCATATGATCAAAGAGCTAGATAGCAATTCGATATCGTGTGATCCGTCAGAGGTAAAAATCGTCTAGCCAGAGATAATGCCTATGATAGTGATATGTGTAGATATGAACAGCCTAGCGACGCATTCAGCTGTGGTTGCTGATCTATAATATAGATTATTACAGATATATATAGTCATATGTGCCCACCCATCCATAATACCCCTGGGTAAGTGCATTGTCGAGGTAATAATAGTTCACAATAGCCGCTGTTTGCGAATCGATCAAATATTCCATCTAAATATAAACGTCGCAATTGTTGCTCATACGCCGTGTGGTACGTCACGGTGCCTGCGCCCGCAACTAGCTATCAAGCGTTTTCATAATTAATAAATCAGCTTTAAGTTTTGGCCACAAAAGCCCAGCGACGCAACGTGACCCAGTTTGGCTTCGCATTGGCCGGGGCAATTAGCTTGGCCCATGTGAATCAATCCCCACCAACCTGCCCTCGCCCCGGGGGAGTTGCTAAGCTGGGGCAAAGCTGAAGGCTCTCTGCATGCTGAATCATTAATTTTAAGATTGCAGCTGGCTGAGCTCCGCCGATGATGTGCATTAAGCTCGGTGATCAAGTATACGCCGAGTAATACCAGGGTAGATTGAAAGCCAAATAAAATGGGTTAAGGACAAGGCTCAGAAGGCATACCTGAATTTTCTTTATATTTTTATATACTTTAATATCAACAAATTAAAAGTTGCTTAGGTATGATATTTAAAGTTATACAAGGTTAAGTAATGCATTAAAAGACGATTTCTTTCTTTTTCATCTTATCTAGTCACACTTTTGAATGGTATAGGGTATTCCGGTAGTCGGGCAGCACATTTAATTGACCTTATTTACTATTTGGGCCAGACAGATAAACCAATTCTCTTTGTGCATTTGATTGATTGCATTTTCGTATCAAGGATCGGGTGCCCAGTAGTTGAGCAGCTCTCGATTTGAGCTCAATGCATTCTGTAGAAAATTAAGTAACTGAAAGTTTAAGTTAATTTTAGCTTTAAATTAGCTCTAACGTCAAATGGATAAATTAGTCAACAAGTTATAAAATACATATAGGTATATGTAATTCAGTAAGTCTAAGCATCTGTTTATGGAAAAGGGGTCTATCAGTCTTCTTCGCCGCATTCGGTCCAGCTGTTAGGTCGAGTGAGGTATCTTTTAGTCGAGCAGCATATTTACTAAATGTCTGCCTAATAATGTTTGATTTGTGATTTATTACATTATTATACTCCTATAGGAAATTGAAATTTATCCCTATTTAGTCCAACTTTGAATTTGGATAGGGTATCTTTTAGTCGCGAAGATGATTGACCTCTGCATAATATTTCTGTTTGGCATATTTGATTGATTGCATTTTACAATAATTTATTTTCATTTAATTTTTTATATATATATATTTTTATACCCTGAACCCATTGAAAATGGGAAATCAGGGTATAAT